AGATTAGCCTCGGTGGCAGGGCGGTACGACATGTGATGCTTATCCGCCGATGTACAGACGCTGGTTGTACCCCACACGTAAGCATACACACACACACACACACATACATGGCCCGGTGCAGCATGTTGTTCTTGAAGTCCAGATTAGCCTGGTGCAGGGCGTACGACATGTGATGCTTATCCGAGATATACAGGCTTTGGTTGTACCCCACAAACACACACATACACACACACACGCGTAACCATACATATACACACACACACATACATGACTCGGTGCAGTATGTTGTTCTTGAAGTCTAGATTAGCCTGGTGCAGGGCGTACGACATGTGATGCTTATCCGAAATATGAAGACGTTGGTTGTACCCCACAAACACACACACACGCACACGTAACCATGCACAAACACATACGTAACCATACACACACACACACGTAACCATACATACTCACACACACACATACATGGCCCGGTGCAGCATGTTGTTCTTGATGTCCAGATTAGCCTGGTGCAGGGCGTACGACATGTAATGCTTATCCGAGATATACAGACTTTGGTTGTACCCCACAAACACACACACACACGTAACCATACACACACACACGCGTAACCATACACACACACACACACACACACACACACATACATGGCCCGATGCAGCATGTTGTTCTTGATGTCCAGATTAGCCTGGTGCAGGGCGTACGACATGTAATGCTTATCCGAGATATACAGACTTTGGTTGTACCCCACAAACACACACACACACGTAACCATACACACACACACGCGTAACCATACATACACACACACACACATACATGGCCCGGTGCAGCATGTTGTTCTTGAATTCTAGATTAGCCTGGTGCAGGGCGTACGACATGTGATGCTTATCCGAGATATACAGGCGTTGGTTGTACCCCACAAACACAGGCACCAGGTTCTTGCGGATGTACTTTTTCAGCTGTTTAGAGCTCATGTTTTCGAATTGGCGACGGTGACAGAGTGCGGCAGCTGAGGGCAGAGAGTGTGGATATGGCAACACACAACGATGAGGAATTGAATCTGACTGAAAGGACGGTCCCATACGATAGTACATGCTACACGAGGAGTCTATATGGCAACACACAATGACGAGGAATTGAATCTGACTGAAAGGACGGTCCCATACGATAGTTCATGCTACACGAGGAGTCTATATGGCAACACACAACGACGAGGAATTGAATCTGACTGGCATGACGGTCCCATACGATAGTACATGCTACACGAGGAGTCTATATGGTAGTCCATAACAATGAGGAATTGACCCTGGTGCACACGTTGGGTCTAATTTCAATCTATGTACAGTACGCACGCACACACACATACATACATACACAAACACACACACACACACATCACACACACACACAGACCATACATACATACATACACACACACACACACACATCACAGACAGACAGACAGACAGACACACATACATACATACGTACACACACACATCACACACACACACAGTATCGGAGGTAGACTCCGGAGATGACTTACGGAGCAGCACACAGCACATTAAACACACGTTTCAAGAAAAGTACATGTACTAGTCTCCTTCCGCTCGCTACCCCACCGTACTCCAGAGGGTAGGCCTATGTGCGGGGGGACACCGTAGTTTGATACACACACTGATGCATCTGGATCGTTACCAGCATACATACTGCAGGCAATTTAAGTCAATGCGTGCAAGCCTCTTTCGCTTATGGACCACTGACGCCTCAAGAACACCCGCAAAACGCTAAAAACACATCGAACCTGGCGTAAGGTACTTTTCTATCTACAACTGGAGATCACAATTTCATCTAGACAGCTATAGTCAGGCATATACATATACACCTGTAAACAACTATAGCCAGGCATATACATATACACCTATAGACTGTACAGGAACATGTGCATACCTTTGCCCACAGCCAGTTGTGTGGGATGCGCCTGTTCCGGTCGCAGGAGACACAAAGTGCCTGGGACTAGCGTACCACCATTGTCCGCTATGGCCGAGCAGTACACATTGGGGTCTGCAGCATCGAGATATCTGTCTTCACAGTCCACTCGAGCACTGTAGAGGCGAATATAACGAGTGAGTCCCGGTTTGTAGGTATTTTGAGATCGGGTTTAGGCGGTTTAATTGGGGACGGGCCGTTTCTAGCAGTATCATAGGGAGGGGTCTTGTTCGCACTGTATCGCGACAAGAGTATGTAACGACGATGCAGCAATAGCTGGATATAAAGTTGGTGTGCAGAGCGATTGTGGCGTATTAAATGTGAAAGCCAAATCAAACTATGAGCTTCACCATGTACACTCCTTAAATCCTGGTAATATTAACAAATAAGTACTCATTCGTGTAGCGTTCTAGTATCGACTAAATCAATTTAAAAAGCAGATCTTTGTGGAAGACAAACATGTGCACATACTCGTTTCAATACATAAAAAAGGATATAACTATACAGATCCCGACAAGAAGCAACAAAATTGCGATATATCTTACGTATGATAGAAACACGTACTAATTTAGCAATTTTCAAGCGATACACAGAAAAATATAAAAATGAAGCAAAAAAATAGATATATATTTCTCAAGGTTAAATGTTCATTGAAACATTAATACATTATAAGAAATACATACACACACACACACACAACAAAATACACACACACACACAACAAAATACACACACACACACACACACACACACACACATATATATATATATATACTANACACACACACTACACACACACATATATATAA